ACCACTGCGATCGTTGGCCGGATGACGGCGCTTTCATTTCAACCAACTGCCACGGCTCGGCCATGGTCATCTGAGCAGGCGTGTAACGTTGCCTTGCCGGTACCCTGACTGGTACTAGTGCCTGATACGTATATGCACTCTGCTCAGAGACACCACCGCATTGGTGCATATTCGGATCACAATCGACCATTTAACAGTTACCATATCGACAACTTTTCCACTCGTCAGGAATCCTACAGCTGTACCACCCTGACTTATATTTGCAAATTGAAGTGATCGCACATGTCCCATCATGGCTCGGGGCGGAGCGCACACGTCACGTCGCGTTCGATGGGAACAAATCCCACAGCCTTGTACGCAGCGTTGGACGCGGGGTTTTTCATGTCGGCGTAGAGCGCAACCGACGCTTGCGGCGTCGGGCACGTGTCCAGAAGCGTCGCGCTCATGGCGGCCGTGAGCCCTTTTGAAAAGCCGTGGCCGCGGGCATTGGCGGCAATGAAGATCGGACCGAGCATGTATACGGTCATCCCGTCCGTCGTCATCGGTGGCGCGACGCCGCCAAAGCCGACAACAACTCCGTCAACGTTCCAGACGTAGAGCGCCTTGCGCTCGAGGCCGCGTTGCACTAATGCTGGCGCAGCGTCATCGTCCAAGAATTCGTCAAAGCACTCGCGCTTAAAGAGCTTGTACCACGCGCAAAGCTGCGCCGCATGGGCGTCCGTGGCGACGACGAGGGTCCCCGCAACGTTGGCGGGGAGCTTGACGCGGTCAAGACGGTAGAGCCACGCCTCGTGGGTGATGTCGTGCGGCGTGTTGGCAGCAAACCCCGCGACGCTTTCGGAAAGGCCACGGACAGTGCACGGCATCGGAAGAGAGAAGGTCGTCTTTAGGTACCTTGCGAGCGCCGACGCCTCGTCCGGTGTCATGTACGGACTTAGAAGCACGCCGCGGGTACTTGACAGAACGGCGTAGGCCGACACGGGAGTTATTGCCGTGTCGGCGAGGACAAACCACCCGGCCGTGGGATCGGTGCGCGCGATGCAGCTCATGTGATTGGTTGCCTCGAGCACCGAGATGCGAACGAGGCGGGTGACGTCTAAGAACTCGGCCGCTGAGTCGAGTCGACGGACGTAGACCATCGTCAATTGCATTGTGGGCAGGAGCTTTGGCCGTTGACGACCACGAGAACGTGACATGTCACACCGGAAACATCTGGCGACGACCATCACTCTACCTTGAAGCTGCAAGTTCTTGTGATGTGGCAGAAGGGAAGAAGCTCGGTGAACCGTGCCGACGGGATTTTCGAAGCGAATATGTTGCATGGTTGCCGTCGTTCCAACATCACTGTCACTGGAGGAGAGTGTACAAGGATGCGCAGCGACGCGCAATGAACTCGTCAACGCCAACGCCATGGAACTCGTCGCGATTCATTCGACTCAGACGCGACGACCGTTCGTTGTCGTCGTTGCTGCAACGCCGGGCGCACTGTGTGGAAGCTTGTGCTGGTCGTGGCATCGCACGACGGCTCTATCAGAAGATAGTGCGGCTTGAAGACGATTTAAGCACTATTTACACCATAGTATGACAGTGCATCGGAGCTCTGACGTTATTAACAGCAGAGCTTTCGTATTCATGTACTAGTAGTCCGATATTCTAGAAATACAGTTTTGTATCAAGGTAAGTGTATATTTTTGTCATTTTTTGACAACAGATAGACCGTCGACTGACCATGCTCCGACACGAGTTGTAGCGCGTGGTAGAGTAACAATGTGCAGCGCAATTCTTCAGTCGAATCAATGCAGCATACAATTATCATTTTGTGAGCTGCAATGAAAATAGTTTGCATTTGAAAATATAAATACGAATCATCGGAGCATCGCGCCGCCTTCGCTCTCGGCCCGGCACAAGGTCGTCGCACGGTTGTGGTTCTTGCCTGTGTCCAGGCTCCAAAACGAGTCGATCTTGAGTTCGCTGTTGAAGTAGAGCGCGTCCAGCCACTGCGGCATGTTGCTCCCCGTCACATACCCAAGCGACCGTTCGTAGCCGGTAGCAAAGGCGAGCATGCAGTTGAAGTCACCGTGGAGTGATGGGAACGAGGCAATCTGGTGCAGCGCCATGTACTGCCCCAGCGCTGCCGCGCCATCGCTCGTCATGGAATGTCCGAGGAAGAGGCCGTGGACCGTCGACAAGATGGCGGCGGCCACTGCGCAGTCGCTGTCGTCGACCAAGAGAAAGTACCACGTGGTCTTGTTCGTTGTTGACACTGTTGCTGGCATCGGCGTCGGCATTAAGCAGCGCGTGCGCTCGAGGAAGAGCGCTTCGGTTGGGATCTCTACAATGTCGAGCATCTTGTGCAATGGTGCTGCACGAGTCTTGCAAGCAGCACCCCAAACCCGGCTGATGCGCATACATTCTATGACCTACATTTTCTCGTCACTTGACAACCAGCTGCCTCATGAAGGCGTGAGCGCGCATGTCGCATTTTATAGTCGAAGTCGTTCTGGAAACGGGAGAATCCCACATGAAGCGACTACGACTACATTTTGACATAGCAGAGTGCCAACACTCCAACTCGAGAATTCACCGTTGATGAGTCGTCACCGTAGTCCCTCCCATTCAGGCATTTTGGGTGAATAGTCGAGTGCACCCCGGTAGCTACCCGGTTAGTTATCAGGTTAGTCAACGAGCTACTGCGTTTTGAATCGCGAAGGCGATATTTTGCTTTTTACAACTGATGCATGCAGCCAATACGAGAAGATACAACTCCGCCGCCCTCCACAACGTCCTTGAGATGCTTGAGCGCACAGCCCTACACACCAGCTGTTGCACATAGAACTTGACGCGACTATTCGTGTGGACAACGCTGTAGTACGTCGACATTTAGTATTGATCACTAATACATACCCACTAAGTACAGAACCACGCAGGGTCGACTGCTCAAACGACGGCCGATGCTACGCGCGGCTACTGCGGGAGCTCTCGCTGGACAGGAGCGTCGCCTCGTCGCTCGAGACGCGGAGCCGGGACGTCGCGCCGTCGTCATCGTCATAAGTAGTTTGCTTGTCATAACCGTCGTGCGAGAGCCCTTTTGTCTCGGGGACAAACTTGGCGATGAAGAGAAAGCAGAGCACCGAGAGACCCCTATCCACGATACAACTATCCAAAGGGTATCCAGATCGATCAACTCCTACCCGCAAATCAAGTAGAGCTTGGCAATGCCGTTCTTCTCGACGTCCTTGTGGCCGTGGCCGAGCGCCTTGATAATCCCGAGCGTGCACGTAGCCACAAACACGTTGCACGCGTAGCTGATGGCCATGAAGACGCCCATCGCCCGCGTGCGAATGACGCTCGGCGTGATCTCGGCCAGCACAACCCTGCACAATAAGATCTCGACCATCAGATCGGACTCGTCATCAGATCGGTACCAGATCACTGCACCGAGGCCGACGGCAAAGCCAGCGACAAAGACCAGCACGCAGATGACCGCGAGGATGCCCTGTAGCTTGTCGCTGAGGTACAGCAGCGTGTAGCTAAGCACGCCGAGCGAGAGTGCCATGAGCGCGCTGCTCACGAGAAGTAAGATCTTGCGTCCACAGTAGTCTACTTGCAGTATATCAAAAGGAAGGCAGCCCAAGTAGATGACACGCACCGACGAGGAAGACGGAAAGGACTGTCGTCAGGACGTTGATCGTGCCCACGGACGCGGTCGCCATGATGGGCTGGTCGACGCCGGCAAAGTGAAAGATCTTGGACGAGTAGAGAATGACCGTGTTGATGCCCGTCATGCTACATGTATCCACTGGTTGGTATCCGATGCGAACGGATAGATGGATATGTAGAGTACGCTTGGAAGAAGACGAGGAAGCTCCCGATGAGCATCGGCCGCTTGAAGGCCCAGAGACCGCAAAAGGAGATGTCCTATTCCACGTGTCATGATTGCAGACCAAGGGACACCATCAAGCGTTACCGTCGGTGACGCTCTCTTGTCGGCGAGCATGTCGTGTCGTAGCTGCTTGAGCTCGACGTCAATGTCTGTCGCGTGCACGACGTCGCGAAGGCGCACGAGCTGCGTCCGCGCCTCTTCGTCCTTGCCATTCGCGAGGAGCCAGCGCGGGCTCTCTGGGACCCATGGCATGAGCATCACCTGGAGGAGTGCGGGCACAGCGACGAACGCGTTCACATACTAATCGCCGTGAGCCTTCGCGAGATACATACGACGGGTGGACGTACGCGCCAGCCGGATGCCACGGACGAGACCAAGCCGTAGCCCAAGACTGAAGAGCCCAGGATGCCGATCGTGAGCATGAGCTGGTGCAAGGTCGTAATCTGGCCGCGGCTCTCGGCCGGCGCGATCTCGGCCAGCAAGATGGGCGTCACGTTCGTGACAATGCCGCAAGCGAGACCGATGATTGTGCGGCCAATGTAGATGTCGCCTTTCGTTTTGGCGCAGGCGCACGCAATCGCGCCGCCGACAAAGAGGACGTTGTTGGCAAGGAGGAGCTTCCGGCGGCCGTACGCATCGGCCATGGACGCTGTCAAGAGCGCCGAGATCCAGGCGCCAATGAGCACGAGCGAGGACGCGAGCTCGATCTCGGCGTCCGAAAGATCAAAGTCGACGAGGATCGAGCCAGCCGCGTTCTCGGCGATGCAGACGTTGAGCACCGAGAAGCCGTAGCCCCAGAGGAATGAGCTAAGCGCAATGAGGTACGCTGAGAGCTTTACGGCGCCGCTCGTTGCCCGCGTCGGGACGGGCGCCGGCTCGGTGGCCATGAGCAGCGACTCGCGCAGCGGCAGATCTTGTTCCATCGCTCGATGGCCAAACTTTGGATTTTGTATCGAGTTTGACAGGAGGCGGCTGCCAGCTGTATTCGGCATTGACCAATTTGATGTGGCATGTGCCGAAATGAATAATAAGCTACCATTTTGGCCAATCCCATGTCGACATTAGTCTTGCTTTGGATTGGTCGATCGAATAAAATCACAGCCAATCAACGGACCGTATGGTGGTGTCAATCGAAACTGGGAGATATTCGCTGCTGGGATGCAGCCCACATGTATAGCAGTTGTCGTGCATTGGGCAGCGATGGCGTGGACGTCGACCCGAGGCCTCGCGCTTCATGAGAAATTGCCCATCTTTGCGGCCATGTTCCAGCATCCGCCGACCACCGCGGTCCCAACCAGCCTTCATGGGTGGTTTGACGCCAACCGGCTCGGTGCGCCCGACGCTATAAGTCTCGTGACGCAGCTTTTACAGCAACCGTCCTTTGCACCCGAGGCCATGGACTCGCGCATCTTTCGGTGGGCGTGCCTCCATGGGCATGACGCGGCCGTCGCGGAGCTCGTGCGCGACCATCGGGTCGACGTGACCGTCCAAGATTTCTTTGGCGTGCGCATGGCCCTCAAGCGCAACCGCGATATCGTCGACCTTCTCTGCGCACAGTACTCAAGCGTGGCGGAGGCTGTTTTCGACCTCGTCCAAGACACGTTCACGCATGCGTGCCATTATGGACACCTCGACGCAATCCAGTACATGCTCGACGACCCGCGGCTCTTGCCCGCAACGATGCACGATGCGATCGCGACGATGGCCTTTATCGACACATACTGCGGGTTCACTATGATGTCGTGGCAGTCACAGCATCACATGACGCACAAGTCGACGCTCGCGGTCGTCGACCTCGTGCGGAAGCACCCGGCCTTCGACATTGGCAATCGGGACAGCCGCCTCTTTCGCTGGTACTGCCATATTGGCGACCTCGAGATGGTGAAGGAGCTTCTAAAGCACCCACGAGTCGATCCAAGTGCCAAGTCGAGTGCTGCGCTGATGCTGGCGCGATACAATGAGCCCATGACGGCGCTGCTGCTCGCTGACGGCCGCGTGGACCCCCTCGCCGCAGCGTCGATCTCCATCTTCTATGAATAACGTCGTCCCGAGATGCGTTGTGTGCGTCTGCTCCATGCAGCAAAGGCTTGTGCACCTCTTCACAAGGTGTCTTACATCGCGTCGCACCACGTCCGCTTGTTTGCTCACCGCAATTCCAGACATTCTCTGAATGCTCTTCGATGTTGCCATCGACCAACCGAGCTGCTGCACTGCTCACGACTGTTCATCGCCAAGCCTCTCCTCTCTGGATAAGAGCTTATACGCGAAAGTGTGATTGCGCCACCCATACGGTTGCATACCACATTGTACGCTGTGACCCACATCGCCCCGCGTGTTGCGCGAAGCGGCGTCAGCTAGTGTAGCGGTGCCCAACCTTGCGTAGCATAAATCGTCGAGTCAAAGTCCTCGTCGTGATTGGAGTTCTGTCGGTTTACCATGCTCTACACGCCGCTATGGCACGCGCACCGCTCCTCGCCTCGCGCCGCCGATGTGGCTCATCATAGCCATATGCACTGCATGGCACGGTGGTAAATGATGACTGTCCAATGAATTTGTCTTGGTGTTTGTATTGTGAGGGACAAAAGGCAATTAAATTGGAGCTGCAAGCTGTTTCCAACTTCAACTTGGAGTGCGACTGTGCACTTGGTGAGGCATCTCCACGTGCGCACTTAATCGAGCATTAAGGATTGATGAAAATCATTACATATAAAGACACAGTGTGAGAGTTGTATTTTAATCTGAGCGCCACACGCCCCTCGGTTGCCCTTGTGCAGCAACGTTCGCACTTAACAAAACTGCCGCGTCGCGGATCCACGGATATTCTAAAATAGTGTATATTGTGTAGCTCTAAATAGTGTAGCACGATGCCTCTCAAGCCAAAAAAGGCTGCTTTCATGGGCTTGGGAGGCTCATTGCGTGGCCTCTAAACGCCCATCAAAGTTAACCTCGTACTCCTTCCTTCATGTGTATGTACGACCTTTGGCCATGGCCACGACACTCGTCCATCTCGGCTCGGAATTCTACGATACACACTTGCACCGAGCTCAAAGAATGCAGACCACGGGACGACGCTATTACTACGATAGACCTACGTACCCTTGATCAGCAATGTCTCATCAGTCCACTTGGTGCCTTCCAGCACCGTGAAAACGGTGCTACCGCTTTCACGTCCAGCAGTGTCGCCGAGCGAAGCTGCCGTCGAATCTTCCCTGATTCACACTATTTCCCCCGGATGGGCCGCACGTGCGAGGCAGGTCGCACTTAGTCGACGTCGAGGATCCTGGATCTGGCGTCATTTGGCAATTTGACCCGAGCCCCATGCTTCGCTCCTTGACTTCCTCGCAGGCGTCGGTCCTTCGTCGCGCGTCGACCCGCGCCTTCTCGGCGGCGCCGGTACGCATGCTTCCTGTCTCCATACCTTGAGGCTCATGGCGAGCTAGGAGCGCGTGCCCAACTTCATCAACGGCCAGTTTGTCCAGTCCAAGACCACCAAGTGGATCGACGTGCGCAACCCGGCGACGAACGAGGTCGTGTGCCAAGTGCCCGAGACGACGCCGGAAGAGCTCCAGGCGGCGGCGGAAGCGGCCAAGGTCGCCTTCAAGACGTGGAAGGAGGTGCCGGTGCAGCATCGCCAGCGCGTCATGCTCAAGCTCCAGCAGCTCGTGCGCGACCACACGGAGGAGCTCGCGCACTCGATCACGAAGGAGCAGGGTAAGACGCTCGCGGATGCGCGCGGCGACGTCTTCCGCGGCCTCGAGATCGTCGAGGCCAGCTGCGGCATTGGCAACCACATGATGGGCGAGACGCTCGGCAACCTCGCCAACTCGCTCGACACGTACTCGTACAAGCAGCCGCTCGGCGTCTGCGCGGGTATTTGCCCGTTCAACTTCCCGGCCATGATTCCTCTCTGGATGTTCCCCGTGGGCATCACGACGGGCAACACGTACATCCTCAAGCCCTCCGAGAAGGACCCGGGCGCCGCCATGATCCTCGCCAAGCTCGCGCAGGAGGCCGGTGTCCCCGATGGTGTCCTCAACGTCATCCACGGTGCGAAAGACGCGGTCAACTTTATCTGCGACGCGCCGGAGATCAAGGCGATTTCGTTTGTCGGCGGCAACAACGCCGGCGAGTACATTCACGCCCGTGGTACGGGCAACGGCAAGCGCGTCCAGGCCAACCTCGGTGCGAAGAACCACGCCGTGATCCTCCCGGACGCCGATAAGGAGCAGACGATCAACGCGCTCGCGGGCGCGGCCTTTGGCGCCGCCGGCCAGCGCTGCATGGCGCTCTCGGTTGTCATCTTTGTGGGTGAGACCAAGGAGTGGGTCCACGACATTGTCGAGAAGGCCAAGACGTTCACGGTCAACGGCGGCCTCGAGCCCAACACGGACGTCGGCCCGCTCATCACCAAGGAGTCGAAGAAGCGCGTCGAGGATCTCATCCAGGCCGGCGTCGACGCGGGCGCGGACCTCCTTCTGGACGGCCGCAACGTCAAGGTGCCCAAGTACCCGAACGGCAACTTTGTCGGCCCGACGCTGCTCAACAACGTCGACATCTCCAACCCGTCGTACGTCGAAGAGCTTTTCGGCCCCGTGCTTGTGTGCAACTCGGTCGAGACGCTCGACGAAGCCATTGAATTGATCAACGCCAACCCGTACGGCAACGGCACGTCCATCTTCACGCAGTCGGGCCCCGCGGCGCGCAAGTTCCAGCACGAGATCGACGTCGGCCAGGTCGGCATCAACGTGCCGATCCCTGTGCCGCTGCCGTTCTTCTCGTTCACGGGCTCGCGCTCGTCGATCCGCGGCGACTTGCACTTTTATGGCAAGCAGGGCGTCATGTTTTACACGCAGACCAAGACGATCACGGCGCAGTGGGAGTTTGGCAAGAAGACGCAGTACGGCACCGTCATGCCGACGCTCGGCAAGAAGTAAAGTCTAGTCCTATCCAACGTAATCCAGAAGATGTCTACACGTATATACACCAAGGGACTGCATATCCTACGATATAACGAGCACTGATGGAGCCCACGACGGTCAATCGTAGAGTCGTGGCCAACGCATAGTACAGGCGTCTCACTAAGATGACCTCGTACTGCTCGGCGAAGGCACTCGTCACGTAGCTGCAGTCGGGGTGGCGGAGTGATACGTCATGGCTATAAAATATGTTTGTTATCCTAAATGTATGACACGTGTTTACCGAGGCGTGGCAGTGACCACCAAGATCTTGATGGCGACAGTCGCCTCGCGATGCTCTCGCCTAGACAAGACCTTCCAAGAGCAAGCCATTCGTCGATCAAAGTTGGCCCTCGGCGCCAGTCCTTTCCTGTGAGCGCCGTATCGCAATATCCCAACGGTTTAGGCGCGAAATAGTATGGGCGAAAGCTTCGTGACACTGTAACAAGCGTGGCCGCACGCTTGCTTTGACCGAGCTAAAGAGCGAGAACGCAGTTCTCGGCAGAACCAGAAGTGAGTATTTATCTCGTGCTTAGCGCTTTTCCTTCTAATGTTCGCTGAGCCTCTTGCGTCCTCGAGGCTCGCTACATCTCCCCGGTCCACCTTGAGGCTGTCCTCAGCCGTTGACTTCACGCCCGTCGCCTGGTTGGTACGGCGTACGCGGGTGTTTCCTTCTCTTGTTCGTGTTCCCATTGTGGTAAGGGAATGAACTCCCATCCTCTTGGTCCTTGCACTTCCACTTCGGGCCGCATGCGTCCGTCCCGTCCTCGTACCAGGCGTCGTCGCCGAATGCCGCACTCGTCTGGAGCCGGGTTCTCATCGCTGCTCAGTTGCTCGAGTGGTTCTTGTACTGTTGCCCGTCGCCGCGCACTGCGTCGCAGCTCTTGGCCTTCCGTCGTGGGTCTCGATAGTAGCACTTCGGGCTCCGACAGTGCTTGGCTCATTGTTGGTTCGTCGACGTCATCTTGCTCGGTCGCGAGGTCTTCGGCCACCGCGTTTCTAATATCGTCGTCCGCAAAATATGGAATGCACTCACTTGAGTGCACAATCCGATCCTGGCCGTTCCACGAGCACTTCACCTTCCAGTTGTCGTAGCCGACGTCGGCTAGAAGACGAGCCGGGCCCCGCCAGCGATGCTTGAGCTTCGTCAGGCCCGTGCCTTTCGCCGGTGACCACAGCCATACGTACAGGCCCTTGCGGAAGCTAAACCCGTGTCGGGTCGCCCGATCGTACGCCCTTGCCATGCGCTCTTGTGCTTCTTGAATGGCCTTCTTTGCGATGTCCCGCACCTGTTGAGCCGCCTTGACGCTGTCGCGAGCCCACTGCGTAAGATTCTTGGGCAGTTCGTTGGTTGGGAACTGCAGGTCGCTCGGCAAGCTGCCGCTCCTTCCCATCATGAGCTCGTACGGGGTGAAACCTGTCGTGGCGTGCTTGCCCGTGTTGTACGCGTATGTCACCACCGGAAGCCATTGGTCCCAGTCGGATGTTCTCTCATCGACGTACATGCTGATCATATTCTTGACCGTCTTGTTGAAGCGCTCGACAAGCCCCACGAGTGCCGGCCGGTACGCCACTGGATGCACTTGTTTCATCTGACAGAGTTTGGCCATCTGCTTGACCACCGCGCTCATGAACTCGCTAGCTCGGTCGGACAAAAGCTCGCGGCACGGCCCGAACATGCACACCAATCGGTCCCAGACGACTTACGCAATGGTTTCAGCGGTACGGTTCGGTACTGCCACCGTGATCGCGTAACGTGTCACGTATTCGGTCATCGCGACCACGTACACGTTGCCTTGTGTCGACGTTGGGTACGGGCCTTGCAGATCCATAGCCCAGCGGTCGCACACGTCCCCCACCGCCAGAGGTCGCAGCGGAGGCAAGATCTCGCGTGCCCGCATCTTCCGAGAGCCGCAGTCCCGACATGTGCGGCACCAATGCTCCACGACACGCCCGATGCCGGGCCACCAGAACTTTCTGCGCACCTTGTGGGTCGTGTGGGTCGTCCCGGCGTGCCCGCCCCATATTGACCCATGCGCCTCGTTGAGAATGACAGACCAGACTTCCGGGGGTGCGACCATTCGCCATCCTTCGGTCACCTGGACTTGCCAAACACCTTGCCGCTTGGTCCATTGTAAGTGGTGAAAACGCGCATCTTCGCGCCACTCAGCGAGCCGTCTGCTCGTGGCCTGTGCCACCTTGAGCTGATGTTGCGTCAGTTGTCCCGGTTGCTCGGCCGTTGGTAATCGGACGCTGAGTGCTCGGCTGTCGAGCCCCGCGCTCTCCGTTTCGGTGCTTGCCGCCGCTTGCTCACTCCATGCTTCGTCCATGCCCGACCGTGCGGCCACCTCGTTCGTGGTCCGATACCCTTGTGCCGTCGTATCGAGCGGTGCTTCCGTCCCCTCGACCCGTTCTATCGGCCCTCCTGGGCCGGTCGTCGTCGTCCCGTTGTCGATGCTGGCCGTTGTGCCTGGCGGTGCCGTTTGATCCGACGTTGCTCGTTCTACCTCAGCCGTCGCAGCCGCCCACGGCTGGTCCGACGGCCGTCCTTGTCCTTCAACCGACGCAGCCACCCACGGCTGGTCCGACGGTTGTCCTTGTCCTTCAACCGACGCAGCCACCCACGGCTGGTCCGACGGTTGTCCTTGTCCGGCAGCCGACGCAGCCACCCACGGCTGGTCCGACGGCTGTTGCTGTCCCGCGACCGACGCAGCCTCCCAAGGCTGGTCCGACGGTGCGGTTGCCACGTGTCTCCCTCCGTGTCCATGTGGCTGCGCAATCGGTGCCCGCCGGTCTTCATCGGTCCAGTGCGGCGGGGCCGATGGCCCAGGGCGCCATTGAGCGATCGCGGCGGCCTGCGACAGAACCTCCTGGTAGCGGGCGTTCGCGGCCAGATCAAGTTGCCCTTCGCGGAGTCGCCGCACCCAGTCCCGTTCGGGCTCGCGACGTTCCAGGGGAGCCGGCGCCCCGACTGGCGCGCGAGAGAGTGCGTCGGCCACCACGTTTTCCCGGCCTGGTCGGTAAATGACCCGTAGATCATAGTCGCTCAGGGTCAAGGCCCACCGATGCAGGCGCCCCGCGGGTTCTGGCGTCGTCATGAGCCACCGAAGCGCCGCATGGTCCGAGATGAGGTCGACCGTACGCCCATACACAAAAGGGCGAAAACTCTTCAGTGCCCAGACCGCGGCCAAGCATTCTAGCTCCGTGATCGTGTAATTACGTTGGGCTTCGTTGTTGCATCGGCTTGCGAAAGCGACAGGCCGGAGTCCATCCGGTGTCCATTGCATCAGCGCCGCTCCCAGGCCAAGGAGGCACGCGTCGGTGGCGACCACGAAGCCTTTTGTGAAATCGGGGTAGAGCAGAACCGACGATGACGTAAGCGCAGAGCGGATGTCATCAAAAGCCCGTTGCTGATCGGCGCCCCACTCGAACGCAATGTTCTTGCGGGTCAAGATCGTCAACGCTGCCGCTCGTCGTGCAAAATTTGGGATGAACTTGCGGTAGAACCCCGCCAGATGGACAAAGCCCTTCACCTCCTTCTCGTTGGTCGGTGTGGGGTAGCGCGTCACCGCCTCTATCAAGCGCGTGACCGGTCGCACCCCGTCCGGTGTCAGTTGGTGCCCCAAGTACTCGACCTGCGTCGTAGCGAACTGGCACTTGGACAGCTTGAGCGTCAGCCCAGCGCGTTGCAGTCGGCGCATGATCAATGCCAGATGGACCATGTGGTTGGCGAATGTACCGCGCGAGTATACAATGATGTCGTCCAAATAGACGAGACACACCTGCCACGAGAGACCACGCAGCACCCCGTCCATCATGCGCTGGAACGTGCTCGGAGCGTTGGTCAAGCCGAAAGGCATACGTACAAATCGGTACAAGCCGTACTTGGACGTGAAAGCCGCTTTGTCCCGGTCGTCCGGGCACATCGGGATCTGCCAATACCCGCTGGCCAAGTCGAGTGTCGTGAACCACACGGCACCACCCAGTTGATCAAGCGTTTCGTCAATGCGCGGGATCGGGTAGATGTCCTTCTTGGTCACGGCGTTGAGCTTCCGAAAATCAACGCAGAAGCGCACTTTGCCGTCTTTCTTCTTCACGAGGACCACCGGGAAACCCCAAGGCCCGTTCGCGGGCTCGATGACCCCGAGCTGCAGCATATCTTTGATTTCTTTCTTGACCAGCTCTTCCTGGGATGCCGACCAGCGGTGCCGGGACTCGTGAATCGGTCGGGCGTCGCCCGTATCGATCCGGTGCTGGACTCCGAGTGTGGTACTGGGTAACGTCCCGGGTGTCGCCGCGCACACCGATGGGAATGCCCGTAACACGGCCATGAGCATGTCCTTCTGCTCGCTGCCAAGATGTCCGCAAGCAATTGCGTCCTCCGAGGGCAGCACGGCTCCGCTCGTTTCCACCGTCTGGGCTAGCCACTCTATCAGGTCGTCGTGGGACTGGTCGTCGTCGGCTAGGGCCACCAGCTCATCGTCCAGTGGTACCCATGTACCGACGTCGTCGCCGGCCTTGGAATGTTGTCGGTAGCCGGACGCGTTCAGGGCTGGCACGATGATTTTGCCGTCGTTGACCACTGCAACCGTAGCTGCCAGCAGGCACTGTTGTCGAGGGTTCGTCTTGCTCGGGATGAACTGAACCTCCGTACCATCGGCAGCCTCGACCGCGAGTTCGACGTGTTGACCGCACATAGCGGCGACTTTGCAGTTCGATCGTAGTGTCACGCGTCGAACATCGACGCGTCGCGAGGGTGCCACATTGGTCTCAAAACGTGCCGCCGTTTGCCACAGCGGGAAGTACAGCTCCCGGGTGTCGTAGCGTAGTTGGCACCCATGGGCCGCGAAAAAGGGGTTGCCCAGCAGCATGTCTTCCGGCAACCCATCGACCACGAGTGGTTCCGTCTGCTACGCCCGTCGCCTCGCGGTTCTACAATTCGTCCGTTAGCGTCGCCATTCTCCGTCCGCATGATTCCTGTCCTTTGCTGTTGTTTCTCCGGTCGTTGGATCTCGCCGTGTCCTGTCGTTCGCCTCGCCGCCGCCGTTTTTCGTTCTCCGTCGGGTAGGGAGGCCCCAGTATGACCACCATGTAACAAGCGTGGCCGCACGCTTGCTTTGACCGAGCTAAAGAGCGAGAACGCAGTTCTCGGCAGAACCAGAAGTGAGTATTTATCTCGTGCTTAGCGCTTTTCCTTCTAATGTTCGCTGAGCCTCTTGCGTCCTCGAGGCTCGCTACAACACACCGCGGCTCACCCGCTCGACTACGACTACACCTTTGTTGAACACATACTTGGCATAGTTGTAGAGACGAAGAATTTCCTTCTTCTTCATTCGCTCACCGGGCCGTCGCTGCGCAGGCGGCGGCGGGGTGGCGCATCTTGCTCTTCTGTCGTCGCCCGGGAACGGCTGCGAGGGAGACCCCTGACGACAAGCTTCTAAATTGGACAAATATATCCAGTGGAAGGATTGTCATTTTGCATTATACCACAGGGCGTCTCGCGCGGACTACGTGGTCAAGGGCATGTGCGTAGCAAAAGTGGTCGGTCAATGCACAGAGCGTTGCGTCCGAGTAGCCACTCCAGCCATACTCGAATCGGAGCTCGCTGTCGCGCATCACTTGCGTCTCGTAGCGCAGGATTCCTGCGTAGGACGATGACGGATCTGCGTCGATGAGCCACATGCGCACGGGCTTGAGCGCATGACCATCGACGTGCAGCGTCGCGTGGCGCGGGTGTTGCAGGTCGCCTTCCGTTTGATCGCCGGTCACGTGAAAATGTACTTCGACAGCGTCGTGGCGCAGCGTGAGGCCAAGAACGTTGCACTGGTAGCTGTCGTTGTAGACGCTCCAGATGCGGTCGCCATAGTGCACGTAGCGGGCAACATACGTGGCAGCAAAGGCTGCCAACACGTCGCTCGGAACGCCGTCATCACGCGGGTCCAGCGCAAAGTCGTACTCGGCGCGGAGCAAAAGAACGAGCGGGTGCGCTACGATGTCGCGGTACGGCGAAGCGAACGCGTCGTGGCGCGTGTCGGCCAGGCGGCCACCATACCGTGATAGGAAGCGCCGCCAGATCGCATCACTTGCGTCTGCCAAGGACGCGCGCATGTCCTTGCACACGAGGCCCATGCGCAACACTTCGCAAGGCGTGAGGTACCCGTCGACGGCCATCGGCGCTACGATCGCCGTCAGCGCGTCCGTTGCCGCCATGCTCACTGTCGCTGGATTGACTGAGAAATGGATGTGTCGGGTTGCGGAGACTTGTACGATATGCGGATCCGGATATCATGGGTCACCACCACTCTTGCCGGAATGTTGGTGATTGGCCATTTCATTTCCTGCAGTCAGTTAGTTAGTCAATTGCTCGGCGCCTTGCACCATGAACACCCTCACGTACCTCAAGCAGATTGAGGATGCGACCCACCCCGAGGCGACAATGACCGAAACCTTCGTGTCGGTGGCGTCCACGGGCGCCTTGTACCGCGTGTACGTCTTCTTGACGGCGGATGCGAGCAAGTTTAGCTACAGCTGCGCGGGCCTGTACCTATGGCGATGAGCCATTTAAATGGTAAAGTGGCAATTTATGGCGCAGCCGAAAAAGAAGAGAGAGGGAAAAAATCCTGGATCCTATTTATCATCGTTTTATTCCGGTGCAGTGTGCGAAGCGGCAAGGGGAAATGCATCGATCAAGAGCTGATGACGCAATCTTACCTTCGGCCTCCAAAAGTGGAGGCGCCCAATCACCTCCCTGGATTCTAGGTGCCGCCCAATGAAACTGCAGCGGCACCTTCAATTGTACGTGGCTCTTTTGCTATGTCCTAACACACGTGCTGGCGGAGTTTCACCCCAATATGAGCCGCCGCAGACCTCCATCCAGAGTATTATCGTGAATCCTCTTTGTGTCAGCCATGACGACGCTCTGGATGCAAAGTTTTGTCTTAAGGCAAGCCGTGAAAGACTTCCATTTTCATGTCTGTGTGTCCAAGAATGCCCAACATTGGACTATTTGCTGGCTAACGAAGCGCATCTGAATTCGTTTCATGCGTTTCGAAAGACTAATCTATACAATTAAAGTGTGTGCATGCAAGGGACTGCTTCATGCGCCGTGAAAAGCTTTGCTTTGAGCGCTACATGCACAGAGACCCAAGCGCCGCTCAGCGGCCGCGGAGCGCATTTTAATCAAATTTTAACAAAAAATCATCATCCGGACAGTTCGGATACGATGGCTCCTCCCGCATCATCCGCCGCAGGTTTGTATGGGCGTGACACACCCTCATCTCTTATATACCCTTGCCCATATCCAGGCCAGCGTGATGACGACGCAGCTGACCGGTGCCGCGGTGGACATGTACCGGCGCCGCGTCATGCTGCTGTCGCCCGAGCTTCTCGAGGCCATCGCGACATATTTGCCTTCTGAAGGCATGACGGCGTTCCTCGCAGCGCTGCCCGAGCAGATGCGCACGCCGGTGCTGCAGCTCATCGCGACGCTATCGAAAGCTCTGGGCCTTGAAGTTGTTTGGCCCACGCTCAACCTTGCTATTCTCACGCAGCTTGCGAATGCCAACGACGTGATCGCGCAGCTACTCACCGTGAACCCGCGCCTGTCCGTCATGGTATATGGATTGCCCCATGTGCCAGTGGTCGCCACGCCACCGCGCACGTGGCCGAGGCTCGACCACATCTCCATCTCCCTCACGATGAAGAAGCGCGCCATACTACCGCGTGTGCTAGCGACCCTCCAGGAAGTGCTCCTGGCGAACGCGTCGCTCCGATCGATCGACGTACACTTTGCAGTGCTGCGCTCACAGAGCAGCACCTCACAGAGCAACGCGCTCAGCGCGCTCGTGGACCTTCTCGTGTCGATGAAAAGCGTGACCAAGCTGTCGCTGCGCGCAATCTACAAGGTGCGCTTCCCGGACGCTGCGGCCGAGGCGCTTGCCGCTTGGATCGAGGCGACACCGCTCACGTCTCTGACATTGAACAACTTTTATGAGCTCTCGCCACGACAACGCTATTGGCTCAAGCCTACACTCGTAGCTCTGGCACTACCCAACACCGACCTTCAGCTGGGAAATAGCGGCTGCCCAATGTCGCGCCACCTGACGCACCTCGACCTCCGTCTCTCTGGCTCGTCACCGATGCAGAGCGTCGCCGGCGTGTTTGTCCAGAGCCCGCTGCAGTCGCTCCACCTGTGTCTTTCCTCCACCGCAACCGACAGTGATATGCACGCGACGCAGCACTTTCTCGAAGTCGACCTGCCGCATCTGCACCAGCTTTTGACGCTGCGCTTGACCAACGTTCGCCTCTCGACGACCCACTGCCTTACACTCGCACCACTTGTGCCACGCTATGCGCATCTCAGTCTTACGTCCAACAAGATGGGCGACACCGGCGTTCTCGCCCTCGCTCCGTTTCTTCGACATACGCTGCAGCTTGAGACGCTTGCCCTTGTCGGCCAAGGCTTTGGTGACGTCGGCGCGTCCACGCTCTCGACGGCGCTCGTGCACACGACGCGTTTGAGTACGTTGGACCTTCGCCGTAACGCCATCGAGGTTGATGGGGCCGCGGCGCTGAGCAGCCTCCTCGGACATCTCCCACGGCTGGCTGAATGGCGCATTGGCAACAACCCACTGGGTGCGAGCGGCGTCGCTGCTCTCTTGCATGCGTGGACGTACGTGGAGCTCACGACGACGACAGTGATTGACGCCACCAGGACGATCGGCAAAACCGACGACCAGCGGGTTTGCAATGCACTCCTCTCGGATCTACCGCCGTACCGGACGTGCTTGATATCGCGCGAGATCACGAATGCGCAAGAGGCTTCGGCGACGGCTGCACGGCGCCTTCGTGGCGATCAAGACCAGCCGTGACCCGCCACGTTCGCTCGTCTTGGCAAGACATGCTGCATCAACAAGTACTATGCGGCGGCCAATGTAATACTATGTTATGCGTCACCGAGTGTTGAATACGCCCGAGGTCTTGGCCCTCATGGTGGGTTTGGGGTGAGCTAGGGTTCGGTTCTCGGGTTGAGGCTGCCGTGAATGGCGGCGACATTTGTTTTGGCGGGCTTGGCGTCGGTGCCGGCTCCATTAGCTTCTCTAATTCCCTATCTAGCTACCGCGGTATCGTCTACTGTGACAGTGACGTTGCTCCTGCGAGGCTGGCGACAACTTGCGGCAGAGCTGTATCAGCCCTCAATGCCCTGAAATGATTTGAATCCAATTCGGCAATGTCCTTGTTGAACCTAATCAGAATCTGGACCAATCGGATGCGCCCGCGACTGCACATTGCAACGGATGCAGCAAAACCGGCGCAAGGCCGGCGACGGGCTCGAGGCCGGCAGCGCCAGTGCAGATGGACCGCTCCGACCAGCGATGGCATCGGCCATGCTGCCTGTCGTCTACCTCTCGACCGAGGCCAAGGACAAGGAGTGGGCGACAAAGCTCTGGAGGCACGTACGCCACGCAGTGCTCTTTGCGTGCGCGGCCGAGTGCTTGACGACGTGCTTTGTTCCCGTGTGGGCCCACGAGACGACAGGCATCAACGTCAGCGCGACGCTCCTCAACATTCTTGGACCGTTCCTCGAAGGCTGCGCGTACACGCTCCAGAACGCGACGGCCCAAGACGAGTGGAAGCGCGCCTGTCGCTACTTTCGCACTGTCTTCCTCGGGTATAGCTCGTCCGTGCGCGCGGCTCACGCAGCCTCGCCTTAGGGTCTTTACGTCCTACTGCTACATGGTCGACCACGCCGGCGACCTCGTCGCGCGCAGTGCGTTTCTCGGGCCGCTCTATATCCTCTCGACTATGTGCTACGCTTCGATCGCATTCCTTGTCGGGCAGCGGCTCATGCACTGGTCCATTGACGCGCGCAAGTTCCCACGCCATCTCCCGCCCGTGCTCTACCTCTGGAACTGCCTCTCGCTCTTCATCGGGATCGTTCTCCTCGTCGCCATTATTGGCCCCAGCGGCTTTGTCCGGTACACGCACTGGTACCTTCTCTTTGGTTGTGAGCACGCACGTAGCGACCCGAAAGACGCGCATTTTCTCGGAAACTTCCAAGTCAACGAAGCCCTCGAGCTCGTGGTCGGCATGCTCATGTCGTGCCTGGGCATCTTTGCGTCCATGTACGTGGGCCACGGCAAGTACGAGGGGCTCGTCGACTGGGGCGCGTGGCGCTGCAACCTCGCAAGCGTCCTCTTCCTTGTGTTAGCCTATGGCACGAGCTACTTTGTGCCGAGCGCGGTCCAGAACGTCGTCGTCGCCAAGTTTGTCTCGTCGTTTTGCGGCTCGCTGTCGTGCTTTTCGACTGCGATCACGTCCACAATGGTATCGAGTCCGCCAGGATCATCGATTGAATATGGTGTAGATTCTGGTCGAGTCGAAGAAGAAGCCGATGGCCGCACTGAGCTTTGGCGTCTCGGCCGTCACGGCTCTCGTGTTTGTGCCGTATTTACGAAAATAACCCGATACGCTGCTTCTGGGAACGGGGCGATTTTTACCCTTTTTGGGTTTATAAATGTCGTCGCGCTGGCGCCTCTGGAAACAGAGCTACATGGCGTAGGATATATTTATAAATATGAACGTGTTTCGCGTTATCTTCATAATTACACAGACTTTGCATACATAGAGACCTGCGCAGAGACTAGCAATCTCCTTCTTCATTCGCCCGCCGGTCCGTGGCTGCGCAGGCGGCGGCGCGGGGCTCGTCTCGCTCTTCTATAGTCGCCTGGGGGCGCTTGAGCCCGCGAGTGAGGCCCATGACGACATGCTTTGTCAAGGCCTTCGAGGCTCCGACGTCGGTAGGAACCTCGGACTTTAGTAGGCAGAGCTCTTCACGCTGCTTGGGTCGTTCGCTGACAGCACGTGATGCAAATCCAAACGTCCACATGTCGTCGACACCACCTTTCTGATTGTTTTCTTAGTGCACGGTCCTAATAGCTATTTTGTACCAAGACGCACAGGATGAACAAACAGCTTTGCGTCTCTACCGCGCTTCGACGTCTGTGAGCTTGAGTTTTCGCGCGCGTGGCTGGGCGAGGAGCGCAGTGAGCGCCGCGAGGGCGTCTTGGGTCTTGGCCGACTCGGCGAGAAGCCGGGCTTCCATGTCCTCTTGCGCGCGTCGGAGGCTCTCGATCGTGTCGACACATTGCGCGAGGCGAATTTCCAGCGCTTGCATCGCAGCGCTAGCATCGTTGCCGTCGTCATCGTCGACTTGTTCATAGTCTTTGGACACGGTCGTAGGTTTGAACAAGTACAAGTCGCCCCGCTTCGTTGCGCGTGCTCGGAGAGTCGCCCAGAGCGACGCGCGAAGGCGGTGCGGTACAGTCACTTCGGCGCGCAGGATCGTGCGGGCGCGATTGCAAGCGACTTGGTCTTGAACCTGGTCCAAGATGGCATCTGTCGACTTGGTCATGGTAGCAACGAGCGCATTGAGGAGCACAATGACAACAATAAGAAAGTGAAGCATGAAGCAAATCGTGAGCACATACTGCTGGGGGTACGGCGCTGAGCGTAGCATCACATCGGCGTCGCCGAGGCCAAACATGATGAGGTACGTCGACACGAACGCCTCCGAGAAGGTCGAGAAGCCAAGCTGGCCTTGCAGGAGCGCATAGTACGCGCACGTCAAGCCCAACTGAAACACGCTGTATAGCACTAGAAAATTGCGCACGTCCCGCAGCATGTAGTGGACCATCGAGATCATCGGGCCCGTCCAGTCGTGGAAGCGAAGGAGCTCTAGGAAATTCAGATACGAGAGTAGCACCAGCGGCGCCAAGAGCGTGCCATGCGTCTCGTCCGAAGGTGCACTTAATGGCAGCAGCAACAAGGTGCAGTACACAGTGACTTGAATGAAATTCCAGTGTGAGGTGAAGTACCGGCGTGGCGCACCGTACCACTCGAGAGCTTCCCACGACAACATGTACAGCGTTGCTAGCCACTGAACCGCAAGGTTGAGGTTGAGAAAAGCCGTGCGCGGCGAGGCGTCGGTGGCGCTGCCGAGGCCAAAGAGCACAAAGAGCGTTAGCCATGCAGCGATGCTCGTCGTCACTGTGAGCAAACCCATCGCGAGCACCGTGTTGACGAGCGATGTGGACGGCGTCGAGGGCGAGACGCAGTGCCGCAGCAGCAGCTCCTTGAGCCGGCGTCGGAGAAACCCCCCTTTTGTCGGTCGGGTTGGCAAGTGCCGAGACGTGGCCAGAAAGCGCGGCGAGGTCACGGCCGCCTTGGTCACACGCAGGAACCGGATGACGCCGTGGCGCACGTACCGCAGCACGCGCTCGTACGCGCAGCTGATGGCAATGGCCGCTATGGACACGAGCACGAAATCGATCCAGAGAAAGAGCGACACGTAAAAGGTGGCAGCCGGCTGCGTCGCGTTGCCCGACGACGTATTCGGGCGAGCCATCGCAATGCCAATGGTGAGGGTGACCAGGAGCAAGGCCGCGCCAAAGAGCTGCATGTAGTAGATGCGTCGACCAAACGACTTCCACTTGACGCGCAAAATGCGCGACGGAATCGGGTGCTGCAAGAGCCGCAAGAGCACCGACCGGTCGTTCTTGGACGCGACATCGAGACGGTCCAGAAGCATCCCGAGTAGCGACGACTCGATATCAGCGCCGTACATCTCATCCAACTACGCACCCCACCGAAAATAAGATAAATAAGATCAAAGAGCATGAGCGGTAGCGAACTGCAACCCTAGTGCCTGTAGCCTACCTTGGGCATGCTGAGCGCCGGGGCGCCATGCTGGTTGGTCGCCGCGATCGCGTAGGCGTCCAAGACGGCCCACGCAAATTCGGGTGCGGTGTGCAGCACTTGCTGGAAGACACATGCATGCCACATTGGCACATCGTCCGCACCTTCTTCGGTGCGCGGCAGGTAGCGTCCAATCGCGTCGTCGGTCGTGATGCCGTCCGATTGCGCTAAGAGCGCGAACGGGAAGTATCCTTCATAGTCCTAGAGTCCGCATCGATTCAGTCAGCTTCCATGTGCCGTGCGTACAGCGACAAGTCCAAGCGCAGGCTTGCTGCGCCACGGGTTGGCATTGAGCAGTGCGTAGGCGTCCTTGGCGCCATGGACGGCGGCAACGTGCAGTGGCGAGTAGCCGCGGTTGTTGGCGGCCATGGCAAAGTTGCCCATGTGCGGCAAGGAGCTTAGATAGGCCAACATGTCCGTGTAGTTGTGCTCCGCAGCGACATGCAGGATCGTGTTGCCGATGGCATTGGGCAGCACGTCCGCATGCGCCTGTAAGAGCTGTTTGACGACGTCGAGGTGGCCACGTGTCGCGGCGGAATGCAGCGCCGAGCAAAAGTGGGCCGTGGTCACCGCGTTGAGATTGCACTTTTGCGACAAGAGGTACCCGACGACGGATACGTGGTTGTGCGTCGCCGCGAGATGCAACGGGGTCTCGCCGCTCTCGGTCGTGACGTTGAGCGGCATGTGCATCATCTCGGCCAAGTACTGTACGATGGCCACGTGCCCGTTGGCGGCGGCGAGGTGGAGCGGCGTGGCCCCCGAGATGTCTTTGGCGTGCATGTTGCCACCGGCCACGAGAAGCGCCTGCAGTGTCCGCAGATGCCCGCCTTCGGCGGCAGCGTGCACGATGCTTTGGTCGCGCGCCCCCTACCCCCCACACATGACAAGATGCATATCCATGCGTGCGTACCAGGTGCTGAAGACTCGTGCTTTCATCGTGCTGGAAGAGATCCAAGCAGGCGCGGGATACATTGCTGCACCGCCGCACAACGATGTGGAGCAGAGTGTCCTGCGGTCGCATTTCGTCTTCGTCCTCGTCGTCGTCATCGCGTCGGGCGCGTCGGGCCATGTCGTCGCGGTCTGTCCAGTCGACGACCAGCCATCGGGACGGCAGCGCCTCCAAGAACGCATAAATGACCTCTTCCGACCTACGCCGAGTGTGAAACGAGTTGAATAGAGACAGAGGCAGACGCGTTGGGCGGTAGCGACTGCAGCGTGCGGCGCATCGTGTGGACCGACACGACCTCCCAGGACGCCGCGTGGACCGGCGGCTTTGCTTGCGGGCGGCGGCACTGCAGGTAGATGCAGTACCATTTCCGCAGCACGCCGACGTGGTCGTCTCCGATCGTCGCGAGCAGTTGGAGGTACTTTTCGCGCACGACCACAAACGACGTTTGTTGCCGGAAGAGCCGGAACCACGCTTGGATGCGGGTCGCCGCGCCTGCGAGCGCTCGCGCCGAGTGCAGGACGTGGACGACGTTCGGTGCATTTTCGCCACTGGCCTCGGGCCCGGCGGCAGCGATGCGCATGAAGGCCGTCGTCCGATAACCGCTGGCGCCTTTTCCCTATTTCAGGCGCGTGATCAACCGCAGTCCCAAGATGGGTAACCCACCCAACCCTAATCAAGTAATCGTGACATGATATTTACTGCGGCACGAGTTTGTGCAAGCCACATTGCTCCCTACTACATATGTAGTAGTATATAATAGCTCCACGTCTCAGTACCGGTACCGGTAGCTCTATTTTATTTGGGTATGGGACTGTGCTTGGCTGTGCAACGACCGACTAGAACATCTGGCACTTGAAAAATACACATACTAGTAGTATATAATGGACCGATGCCAGCATCGACTACGCGACTAAAAGACCGAGGAACGACCGCACGGCATTCGATTAAGAAGAATCAACACACATATGCTTACGCCAACGGCTTGCCGGCAAGGAAGCGGTTGATCATCTCGAGCGCGACCTTGGGCTGGTCGGCGGGGACCATGTGGCCGGCGTTGTAGATGCGGGCGAACGTGAGCTTGTCGGCCGACTGCACGGTGCCGGCGGCAACACCGTCGACAACAAGATCAGCGGTCTTGGCGGCGTTGAAGGCCTTCTTGCCGCTCCACTCGAGACCGGTGGTCCAGGCGTAGTTGCCCTTCCAGTTGCAGACCAAGTCGGCGTCGCCGGCGTAGATAAGGACCGGGACGTTGGCGTCGAGGATGTTGGCCACCATACCGTCAAAGGTCTTGGAGAAGTCGCCCATAAAGTTGCGGAAGACGTGCTGCGCGATTTCGTTCCAGCCGTGGACACGGTCCGTGTGCACGTTGAGCTTCTCCTGGACGAGCTTGTTGTTGAGGAAGGCGTGGACGGCCGGCGAGCCAAAGTTGGCGACCATATCGGGCGAGAGCGGCGCGTGCGTGCCATCGACCTCCTTCTTGAGGACGGCAATGTTGTCCTTGCGGAGATCGTACGGGTCGACGTTGGCGACCGACATGATCGGGTGCGACACGTCCGTCATCCAGCGCGCGGTGGCTTCCGTGCACGCGAGGTTGTCGTTTTCGGCGTTGCACTTGTGCGCAAGGTCGACGACCTTCTTGACCGCGAGCTTGTACGCGGCAAAGTCGTGGTCGTTCATGAGCTTCTTGCCATACGCGTTGTCCTGGAGCATGTCGGCGTGGTGCGCGAGCTGGACCGTCGGGTTGGTGAGGCCGTTGCCGATAGCAACGCCCGAGAGCTCGATGGGCTTGTAGCCATCGTTGTCGTTGGCCGTATCGAGGATGTGCGCGGCGATCGCCGGGATGTAGTGACCGGCATACGACTCGCCAGCGATGAAGAGCTTGTGGTTGGCAAACTTGGGGTGGGCATCGCGCCAGCCGTTGAGGAACGCGTGCATGTTCTGGGCCACGTCGAACTCGTTGTGGTCGTAGTCACCCTTGGCGCCGTACGAGAAGCCCGTGCCGATCGGCTGGTCGACCCAGATGACGTTGGCGTTGTTGGTCCACGAGTGCGGGTTGGGCACCGTGTGCGTGCCGTCGGCCGAGACGGAGCACGGGCCGTTCTCGGTGAGGAGCGCCATCATGCTCGAGCCGCCGGGGCCGCCCGTGAGCCAGAGCACGAGCGGGTCGTTCGCCGGGTCGGCGCGCGACTCGAAGAACCAGTAGAAGTAGTTGCCGTCCTTCTTGTGCGGGAGGTTGATGTAGCCCGAGGCCTGGCCGGTAATGTCGCAGAACGACGCACCGTCGAGCGGCGTCAACGCCGTCGTCGCCAGCGTCACGGAGCCCGAGAAGCCAGCCGTGAGGAGGAGCGCCGAGGCCGCGACGGCCGCGACCGCGACCTTGTTGACGCGGTTGTACCACTTGGCTTCGGCGCGGCGGATGCCGGCGTTCTCAGGCTTGGTCAGCGGAATGTACTCTTCGCGGGCCATCGTGACGAAAGGAAAGTGACCGACGACGGCCATCGTGCGTTCGTACTGTAAATATCTTGGGCGGCGGGTTTGGACCAATGGCCTTGCCCCATTTGCGAACTTCGAAGCTGTGCCTTCGACAACGTGCATACAAACGCAAAGGGCACCCATCGAAGTTTATATCAGCTGCAGATGACGATCTTGGTATACAAACTTCAAGTGCCACGCCCAAGAGGGGCTTTGGACCAGTGAAGAGAAACGGCCAAAAGTGATAGGGCACCGATACACTGTATAAAATCGAGTACCGAAGGAGATGATATGGCGCCGCGCAGCAGCCAAGTCAGTTGCGCCCACGAGCGACGAGCCATACTCGATGTCAATGAATCTATCGCTCACGTACTGTACTAGGCGTTCGAGGTACTGTAGTTCAGGGTGCAGGCTGCTTCAGATCCGTCAATCGTCAGTGCCTTTAGGGTGCGTACTTGACCAATCTACGGGGCCGAATCCTGTGGTTCGTCACGGACAAGCTGCGACCGCGAGGGACGGACGCGATCATATTAGGCGCAAGAAAACGAGGCGAAGCCAAGGGCGACGACCTCCTATCACCGCAGAAGGCCAGGTTGATCGGCGCGCGGCTTGGCATGCCGCAGCTTGGGTGACGGCTGTCGTTGCGTCGAAGCCACTCTTTCCTGGCCTGCGACAACTCTGCCGATTCGATCGCTTGAAGGCGGTAGGTTCCGCATTCCCAGAGGGTGATGAATACTCCGTGTGTGGGTCGCCGGCGGCAAATTTTGCTCGGACCCTTCGTGGCGACTGGCGGCTGACGGCGTCGCGGCTTGGCGCCTCGACCGCTACGCCACAACTAGGATCGATAAATGTGGCGTTTTAATCGCGGTATTTGTGGCAGCGGATAAAACCTTCGAGGGTGCATATATAACCCATATCAAGTCTTGCAGTGAAATGAGTCGGACGGCGGCGATCCAAGCGGCCTTTGCGCCAGCCCACGCCGAGAAACTCAATGCGTTCCTTCGCCAGGCGCGCCAGGCGGTCGCGACCGCCGCTTCCGTGCAGGTCGTCATGGGCAACGAGGCCTGCGACGCCGACTCGATGGTGAGCAGCTTGGTGTATGCGTTCGCGGTCTCAGCCGTGCCCGTCATGAGCGTCGACCGCGACCAGTTTGCGCTGCGCTGCGAAGTGAGCGCGCTCTTCTGCGCCGCCCACATTGACGTAGACGCGCTCCTCTTCCAAGACGAGATCGACCTCGCCAGCCTCCATGCGGCGCAGAAGCTGCGGCTCGTCTTGACGGACCACAACAAGCTCAAGGCCGCGCTCGCGTCGCTGGATGCGTCCGTGGTACGCCCCAAATCGGTTGACTTCCAGATGATGATAATGATGGCAGGTGGCGATCATGGACCATCACGATGACCTCGGTGCGCATGGACATGTGACAGGCTCGTCGCGTGACATTGCATTCGAGCGCACGGACGCGGGCGGCCGCGCGTTGGTCGGGTCCGCCTGCACGCTTGTCGCCGAGCGCGTACGAACCAGCATCCACTTTGACCGACTCGAATGGCCTGTGCTTAGAGTGTATCCCTGCAGCCGCTCGAAGTGACGCTGCTTCTGGGCGTCATCGCTCTCGACACGATGAACATGGACGCGGCCGCCAAGAAGGGCACGGCGCGGGACCAAGCCGTCTTGGACAAACTTGATGCGCTCTCGCTCGTGCCCCGACACGACTTGTATGCGTGGCTCGTCGAAGAGAAGTTTAGCCCGGACAACTGGTCGCGCTTTACGTTTGCCAACTGCCTTGCGTACGACTACAAGCGATTCGAATCGTCGGGCGTCTCGTATGGCTCGAGTGCCATCTTGGTGCCGCTGCCGACGTTTTGGGCCAAGGGAGAGAGCCCGCTGGCGCAGCTGGAAGCCCACCGGTCGCGCCTCGGCCTCACATTTGCCCTCGTGCAGTCGATGGTGCATGCGGCGGACGGGCCAAAGCGCCAGCTGCTCTTGTACTGCCCTGACCGCCGCCTGCGAGACGACCTCGTCGCCTTTCTGAACCGTGCGCCGTTGCAGCTCACACCGCTCGATGCGCTCGGCGAGGCCGCCGTCGACGCCTTTGACCAAGCCAACATTGCCATGTCTCGAAAGCAGCTTGTGCCGCTGCTGGATGGTTACTTGGCGACCTTGGCCAAGATGTAATAATACCGGAAATCGGTGTTTTGTCTTAGGTGTAGCTTCAAAGCGTTGAGAATTAGTAGTATGAAAAACCCGCTATTTGCCCGCTATTGTCGGAAAACCCCGCAAAATCACAAACCAGCCAATCACAAGGCCTTTGCACTCCTTAAAAGCCAATCCGATCCACGCATCTCTGAATCCCGTTTTTTTGCAAATATTTGAGCAAAAATTGCAGTTTTTCGGAAATATGCTTGAAGAGACCCATCTCGACCAGAGAAGCGAAAGACCCGAGAAGAAATAGATATGCAAAGTATAAGGAGGATGTCGAGACGTCACCCGCAGCGCTCTTTCGATCGTCGCAGCGAGATCTCGCCAACGCTGTCTCGGTGGGCGAGTAACCGGTTCCAGTATCCAGCTAACCGTGACTTCGGTAGGATGACGGCATCGGATTGGCCAAAATGCACCTCCATTTACCCTACCCTCCCCATCGCCAACGCCAAGGGCAGCCGCGAAGCACCTTTCTATGGACGTAGTACTCGCATGCGTCGCGCGAGCGATCGACACATTGCTGTCGCTCCTAAGATACTAGACTATTTCCCGATTTATCCATATTTTATTTCAACGTGGACATGGAGCACCATCCAGCAATCGTACATTGGACGGTCGTGGGCGTGGCGACGTCTTTGATTACCATATGGAGCACAGTGCGTCGCTGGTCGTTACGTGTACAGGTTGTACAGGCCGTGGTCTTGTCGGCGGTTGGCCCTCCTTGCGTCATCGTCGCCGATACCGAGTTCGTTCGAATGTTCTAGTCCCCCTACACCGCCTTCCTCGAACACGTTAGCCCTACGACGATCGAAGAGGACAAAGACTAGGTCACAGCTTCTTCAATGCACCCTCCAAGGATCTCCTCAGATTGCATTCAAATATGCAATGTCACCGGCAAAGTTACTAGCCTCCTCTGCGTTGCTTCGTAGAGTTCTTGCTGTGAACCAAGAGACATGTATATATATTCATATTGTAATATGTAGTACATTCCGTGCTCTATTGTGGTCAATATTGTCTTCTGTGGTCGAGGCGGCGGTCGCGCGCTCGGGCCGCACATTTCCCGCGCTAATTCCGGACGCCATTGTAACCAATCAAATGCGACTATATCCGGATGTATCCGGATAGGAAGACCGGCGGGCAACGGGGCAACTTGGAGTTTGTATCGGCCGCCATGGACGACAGCAGGGACGACGATGGAGCTGGCGAAGGACCCTGGCCGATGGACGGCGCCGCCGACCAGCGCGACGTCGACATGGGCGCGCGCGATGTAGAGACTGCGCTGGAGGCGCCGAGCCCTGCGCCAGTCGAGGCAATGCGGCCACCGGTGGGTGCCATTGCGGCGCCCGACGACGTCGACACCATGGGCGACGGCGAGAGCGATGCGCCGGGGCCGAGCGACATGGGTGACGTCTACTTTCTGATTGCAAATTTTCTGCGCCAAGCGACGCCATGCTCGCGGACGGCGGCGATGCTTGAAGAGGAGCTGCACAGCTTGGGCCTGCTCGACGCAGCGGTCGACTGGCAAGGACGCGAGCGGCCAGCAACGTACACGGATGTGCATCTGCGCCACCGCCAGCTTCCGCCCACGCACCTCGTCCAGCTGCTCCGTGACGGCGCGCGCAAGAACGAGACGACGCTCTTGAAGCCGCGGCCACCCACGCCATCGACGCCCGATGGTCGCCGGTCGACGATCCAGGAGCTGATCCAGCTCTGGCTGCAGATGCGCGGCAGCGAGCGCAAGATTCTGCGCGTCGAGCGCCTCCTCGAGAAGTTTGCGACCACCGGCACGGACATTGCAGAGGAGCAGCGCGGCGCCAAGCAGCTGCGTTTCCTCCAGCGGCAGCTTGTGCAGGACAAGCGCAAGGTCGACGAGCTTCTGAGCCGTGTGCGCGACTGGGGCATGGCCGTGACCAAACCCTTTGTGGGTACGAACCACGCGCGGGCCCTTCTCCAGCGCGAGCGCTGCGGGCGGCCCGTGCCTTTCGGCCATTTCGCCGCCGCCAACGCCTGCCGGGAGCCGGTCCCGATCTTCGCCTACACGCGGTACCGCATCCTCAAGACGCTCAGCGGCCATTTGCAAATCTCCGTGTACTGCGTCACATTTGACAAGTCGGGCCGGTTCATCATCACCGGCTCGGACGACCGGCTCGTCAAGATTTGGTCGGCCCGCACCGGCGACCTCTTGTATACTCTGCACGGTCACGTGGGCAACATCACCGACATGGACATCAACGACGACGGCAGTCTCCTCGTCACGTCCTCGGACGACAAGACGGTCCGCGTCTGGGAAATCGCAACCGGTTTTGCGATCGCCGTCTTGGTCGGGCACACGAGGTACCGCATTTACATCTAAGTGTCGATGGCTCATGGAGAAGGCTCCTAGTGTTGTCAACACGGTTCGATTCCACCCGCACCTCAACGTGGTCGTTTCGGCCTCCGACGACGGCCATTGCCTCCTCTTCCGCCTCCCGCGCATCACGCCCGGCCCGCGCCGCGAGACCAAGACCGAGACAGTCCAGCGACTCTTTCAGCAGCACGCATACTGCCTCAACATCAAGCCGTTCCTTGTGCTGGGCCATGTACCGTCGGCGAATGGCACGCGCGTCACGCGGTCGTGCAAGGTACTCTGCCTCGATGTGAGTCCGTGCGGCACCAAAATTGCGACCGGGAGTCAAGACGGCGTCGGGCGGCTCTGGCACGTCGGCCCCCACGTCCTCTCGTCGACGGCCACGACGTCGGCGTCGACGCAAGACCAAATCGACGCGGTCGTCGCGTCGATTCCCGACGTCCACCATGAGCCGTCGCCCGAGGTTGCGGCCGTCGGGTTTGTGCCACCGCCGACGTCGACGGCACCGATGGCACCGATCGCGCCGACGGAACCGGTCGCCAACCCGCACTTTGCCGAGAGTACGGTCGTGACCGAGCCGTCGCTGGTGCTGACGGGCCATACGTCGCCGATCACAAATGTGTTTTTCAGCAAGCACGGCGAGTCGGTGGCGACGCAGTCGATCAAGGACGGCACGACGCGGCTCTGGCAACTCCCAACCGCGACTCGTCCGAAGCTCGGCATCCACATCTTGCCATCGCCCGAGACTGTCGAGGGTGGGCGGCGCCAGGGCGCTTCGTGGTCGGCCGACATGATGATGTGGACGACTCAAGGCGAGCGGCTCGTGACGCTCCACAGTCGCAAGGCCGACGCCGACGCGCTGCACATCGAGCAAGCGATCCGCATCTGGGACCCAACGACGCTTGCGTTAATGATGACACTGCGGCATCACGAGCGCGCGCACGTGAACGCCGTCTTTGCCATGGAAGTCCACCCGCTGGACTGGCGCATTCTTCTCACGGCCGGCTACGACGGACGCATTTGTCTCTGGGACATATCGGCGGGCACCCTTCTGCGGCAGTACCAGAACGTAGACAGTGTCGGCGACCCGTGCCCGATCCACGACGTGGCGTTCTCCCCGAGTGGCGACCTCTTTGCCGTCACGGACCGCGTCGGCCGGCTCTGTATCTTTGGCACGGGCGCCGGCGACAGCTACAAGGCGAGTCCGCGCGACCAGTACTTCGCCAACGACTATGCGCCGATCGAGATGGACGTGAATCTCAACGTCCGCGACCGCGACACGCATGTGCAGCCGCACCTCTTGCCGCGGTCGGCGCTCATGGACATGAGCCGGTCGATTTACGCGCAGCAGCCGCTGCATCTCCTGCTCGACGAGATGCGCCTCGAGGACTATGCGGCGAACCGGGCCGCGCGCGTCGCCCAGTACACGGAGCTCTATCAAGCCAACTTGGAAGGCATCGTGCGAAGCGACGAGAACGCGCATGGCAACTACGAGCCGTTCCCCAACCTCATCGAGACGGTCACCCCCAAGAGCGTCCGGAGCGTCCGAAGCGCCCTCGCGACCACGCAGTCGTACCGTGTGAATGGCGCCCCGGTGCTCGCGTCCGAGGTGCGCGCACCTGTGGTGCGACGGGCGCCCCGCGACACGGACGACCGCGATCGTTCGGTGCTCGATGTTGTCTTGTCGTCCGACGAAGACCATGACGAAGACTTTCAAGTCCCGGCGACAGCCAACGGTGACGACGGCGACGACGACGACGATGACGACGACGACGACGAGGCCATGGGTGATCTTGTCGATGAAGAGAGCGACGCGGGTAGTGGCAGCGACACGCCGCCCCGTATCTACCGCACTGCCGATGGCAGTCGCGCACTGCGCTCCCGTCAGCGACCGTCCGCTGACGACGACGAGCCCGCGCCCCGTCGTCGGCGTCTCCGGAAACGCAACCAACGACAGATTCTGGACGGTCCGTCAAGCGGTGACGACGAGAACGACGAGGTCGAGCAACGTATCACGGCGGTGTCGCCAGCCCGCGTGTCACCCGTCGACGACGAGCCAGAAGAGGACGATACCCAAGGAGGCGCCGTGGAAGAGTCGACCAAGGTGCCTGGCAGCCAGCGGGACGTGTTTGACACGACCAAGACGTTTGCCGAGATGCTGGCGGCCAAGCGGCGCGTCGACCTTGGTGCCCAGATCCTCTGCGGCTTTTGCGGCCGCGGCGACGTCGCCGGCATGACGCTACCAGGCGAGACCCTCGGCGTGCACCCGCTCGTCAACGGCAGCCAGCGCGTGTTTGTGCACGACCCGTGCGCGATCACATCACCGCAGTCGTTCTATGACGACGGCCATTGGTACAACATTGCGAAGGAGCTTCGCCGCGGGCGGCTGCTCAAGTGCAACCTCTGCGGCCAGAAGGGCGCGACGCTCGGCTGCAACTATGACGCGTGCATTGTCACGATGCACTTTCACTGCGCGCTCGCGACCGGGTGGAAGGACGAAGATACGTACTACTGCGGCGACCACTCGCACATGTACGTCCCATCACCCACAATCCGCAACGACCCGCTGCGGGCCATGAAGGCGCAGCTGCTCACGAGCCAAGTCGCGTTCGAAGAGGGCTACATCAAGCGCATTGGCTTGAGCTACGATCGGCTCTACTGCCAGCAGATTCTGCCGCAGCCGCAGTCGTATGTGCCTCAAGTCGGCGACGTTGTCGTCTACTGCCCCCAAGGGCACGAGTTTTACCTGCGCTTCCATCCGTCCAAGACGCAGCCCGCGTACATGACGTTTCCGCGCAAGTTTGCCGCCGTCCAGTGCCAGATCGTGCACATCGCCTACACGTTTCCGTTGGTCGAGACGTACAAGCCCCACCAGCGTGTGCTCATGCAGCTCCACCTCGAGGTCGTCGGGCTCCCAGCCCTCTACTTTGAAGACGACCAAGATGAGAGCGACCCGTGCCGACGCGCGTTCAACGCGTTTGTGCCTGTCAACGACCAGTTTGAGCCCGACGACGCACCGTCACGAGTGCGCCGGCGGTTCCGCGTGCACATGCAACCGAGCGACTGCCCCGACTTTGTCGTACTGTACGCCAAGTACGCGCTCGGGTTTGGCGCGCCGTGGACCGTCCAGGACACGGTGCAGACGGTCCTACCCTCGACCGACGACCACGGCATTCAGATCGACTCGGTGCTCAACACGGGCACCGTCCTCGCCAACGACCGCGTCGAGTCCGACGTCGACTCGCCGTGGGAGTGTCTCACGGTGCTCTTTGACGACGGCGACACGGTCCGTGTGAGTCCGTGGGAGCTCGAGCCGGCGAGTGCCGAGGCGCGGCTGGCGCAGCTCGCGCTTGCGCCGCCGCTGCCGACGATCGACGGCGAGCGGCGCGCGGGTCTGTTGCGGGCGTTGGCGTCGATCATGCAGCTCTCGGTCGCCCTGGATTTCGTGCCGCCGGTGCCCGAGTCGACGCCCGACTACTACGTCACGGTGGCAAACCCGATGGACCTCTCGCTCATCCGGAGCCGCGTCGAGCACGGCTACTACCGGCAAGTGGACGCGCTCTTGGCGGACGTGCATTTGATTTTGGACAATTGCGAAAAGTACAACGTCGAAACGAGCCCGATCGCGCAGAACGCGCGGTCGCTTGTCGCAGCGATCGTGTCCATTCTGCAGCCGCTATTCCCACTGCAAGTCGCGACGTGGCAAGCGGCCCACGCCGTGAGCCAGGTTGAGCCCGAGAGGACGCTCGAGACCAAGCGCCCGCCCAAGCGCTCCAACAGCGTCGACGGTGCAAGTCCAAACCCGAAGCGGCGCTGCACGGACGACGCCGTGGTCGTGCAAAAGCTGCGACTCTCGGTAGCCCAGCGCCAGCAGTGGCTCCAGCGGCTCGCCAAAGGTTCGTTGGCGTCGCACCTCGCCGTGCTCCACCGTGCGATCCAGGCCGAAGACGCGGCCAACATCTTTGCGTCGCCCGTCACCGACGACATTGCGCCGGGGTACTCGGCCATCATTCCACACCCGATGGACTTTGGCACGATGCAAGCCAAGCTGACGCTGTATGGGTCGTTTGCCGCCTACTATGTACGACCTTGAAATGACTGTCGTCGCTCATGCATCGTCTGGGCGTAGGAGGACTTCACGCTTGTGTGTGCGAACGCGACCGTGTACAACGAAGCAGGCTCGTACGTGCACAGCGAAGCGGTGCGCATGAAGGGGGCGTTGAGCCGCGTCGTCGGCACGATCCTCAAGGGCAAAGCCAAGGCGGCTGTGAAGAAGCGTCGGCCGCGCCGCGACTCGTTCGACATGAATGAAATGGACAGCGACGAAGA